CACACACACACACACACACACACACACACACACACACACACACACACACACACACACACACACACACACAGAGAGAGCACAGTGAGCCTCACGGAATGCTATTGGACCATCCTAGAAACGTATCCAAAGCAGCAACATGACTCTTAACTCACCCTTTCGTCAATAGTTTAGTTCGTCATGGAAGCAGATCAAATCAGTGACATAGGGACAGAAAATGATAACACCATACATATCTTTGAGAGATGAGAAAACAAAACTTTGGGGTAAGAATCGTGTGGCAGTCAAGAAAAACCAAACTGTGACACTCTTTTTGCCACCCAAATGAAAAAGTGGGGAGTCCCCCTACAAAAGTTAAAACGCTCACTCGGAAAGGCAGAGCTACTTGTATATATATATACAGGGTCACCAGCCTGTACGTACGGAGGGCCCCGGGCCGACCTCCATAGGTACGGGCGTTCAGGGTCCCATTCGGGGTCCGAACCCGAAGGTGTTCAGCCCCCGCCAAAAATTATTTTGGGGCCTGAACTTTTTTGTGAGTTCTTTATGATGTTAGGTACATGCCTATAAATTCTGAAGTCATTTTGCTAAGCCAAACAAAAATTAAAAGTCGCCAAAGATGGCGGTGTCAAAACGTGCGCGCCCACTCACTATTTTGTTTTTTTTTTCACTCTTTACTTTTTGTTTTCACTTTATTGCGGGGCCTAAACAATTTTATTATTTTTTGAAAGTTTTTTAACGAGTTTTGTATTATGTGAAGAAAACATCTGTAAATTCTCAGGGCACTTGGAGGTGCCAAAAAAAAAAAAAAATCGCCAACGCCGGCAGTGTCGAAAACATGCTCGCTCACTCACTAATTTTAATTCTCTTTTCATTTTTTCTTATTTTTATTATTAGTTTTATTTTCTGTATATTATTTTTACTTCAAATTTGGTAAGGAATTTGGATGTAATGCTCAGGCAAATGTTGTTTAATTTATTTATCTTCATAACATAGTTTTTTTTCAGAGTTTTTGGAATTGGTTTTTTTTTTTTTTTTTTTGGTCCGCGTTCGGCTCGAACGGCCGGACGCATCCCCAAGGGGTTCCGTACGTTCGGGCGTTCCGCCCGTCCCGAACGTCGGTTACCCTGTATATATATATCGTATATATATCGTCACAAACAGAACTGCCCGGTAAACCGTAGGCAGAGAGAGAGAAGAGGACAACAAACGAGGGGCTGTGACAAACTGTTTCGTCG